ACTTTGTGTAATTTTCTTAATTTTAAACTGTGGAGCATCACAGCTGAAAGGTGAGAATAATCACTGTTTATGCTTTTTTATGCAGGAAGTTGGATGTTTTATCCCTGCCAATGCTCAGTCTTCTATTTATAATTTATCATTTCATTATTATTTTTTTGTCTAGTCCAGTCTGATTTAAGAAAATTAATCAAAATCTTTGTTTACATACAATAAGATACTCTGAGGTGTGAATTTCTTGCAGAATCTTTGTTGAATAATAAAACCGTCTGTTCAGTTTAGACAAAGCTGGCAAAGTTCCAACCATGCTCTCAGTTTCACTATGAACTCTTCCCATTCAGAAATGTACTTAAGTTACTTAAATAGATGCTCCTCTTATGGTAGTTTTATTGCATCTACTTGAATCATATTTGAATATCGGTGCAGTTTTAGTTCCATGAGCTCAATTGTTCTGTTGATGTTTTCTATCAGTTAGATCTAAAAAGGCGGGAGGGTAAAAGTGTAATAATTTCAGCGCAATATGCAGGGCCCAATAAATACTGAGGTCAGCAGTCAGTCATTTCTAGGTGGCATGCTACCCAGAAAATGTTTTTAATTCCATTATTTAAATCTGGACTTTTTCAGAGTCTTAAGCAGCAAAAGCATCATCATTATGACTTTTGAATAGCCTAGGCTGTGCATTTATCTGTCCCTTTCCCCCTGCAGGACATTTCAGGCAATATAAACTTGATTTTTCTTTTGAAGCTTCTATCTAAGCGAATAGAAATGTGTCACAAAAGGCATTCCAGTATAACTGAAATAAGTTGCTTCGTATTTACTTAAGTATTTAAAGTAGATACCCAAGAGCTATTACATTATTATGTTCATGGTGTTTCCTGATCTGTTCATGCTTGTTATGGGAAGCAGGCGTTTTAAAATATTTCTATTATTATCATCTGCAGAATTGGATGGAAAATAAAGGGAGGGGATAATTGGATTAGAGTGATGGACAAGAGACTGATATAAAATATGAAGGGCATTGGAACCACTGTGTTAGATCAATGTAGATTTTAAGTTTTGGGCAAACAGTGAAGTTCGTTAAACTGTCAAATCTAACTGGAGGAACTGGGAGAGCCAGATTTAAGGAAAATAATACAGACTGTTTTCTGTAAACCTGTTTTTCAGGATCAAACTAAAACAGATAAAAACAAAAACAAAAAAAACAGGAGGGTATCAAACTCTGATATGATATGTTAAAGCAGACCAAATATGGTGGGTGGGAATACAACCTGCTAACCTTTGCATCCTTTAAAGCTACCTCATTTCTAGCTGCAATGATAAAACCATCTAGCCATACCATTAACATCATCTTTTCACTATTTTTTCTTTTTAGGATACAACACTGATCACTTGGATATTGCTTGTAGTCATTTTCACTCAAATATGCATGCAGTGAAGCATTACAGTTTCTCCCAGATCATTTTAAACCATACAGACACCTTTTTAGTTCATATGACTGTATTTTAACCACCTATCTTAAAACCTTCAGGTGGAATTATTTGCATTTTCATCAGTGGTTTCTATGTAAATATCTGGTCTTAACCTCCATGTAGTTTTTGTTGTGCTGCTTTTATCACTGCTCTCATGCTTGTGATGTCTCCCATTGTGAAAGTGCCTCTTCATTGTTGGTTCCTTATTCTTGAAATGGTTGCTTCATCGTCTGCTCCTTTAGCTACAAACCTTGCTTTGTATTTTTCACATACTCTTCAGCTAAAGCCTCCATTGGTTTAGCTGAAATTCCTTATATTTCCATACTTTTTAAAGATATTTTGAAGCTTTTCTAGATCCTCCTAAATCCAGTATCACAAAATCTTATGCAAGGTCTGCAATTTCTGCTATACTTTACATTCCTCATCTAAACAGTTGGTAAATAATTCAGAAGGAATAATACAGAAGGGAAGAAAAGAAGTATTTGAACAGCCTGTAATTTTGAAAGTTCTCCCACTTACAAATCATGAAGGAGCCTGACATTTTCAATTGAGGTGCAATCGAAAATGCCACTGTGAGAGACATAGTCCAATATAAAAAA